AGAGAGAGAGAGAGAGAGAGGGAAAACGCCAAGCAGGCCCTGCACTGTCAGCACAGAGCCTGATGCGGGGCTCAAACTCACGAAGCGTGAGATCATGAGCTGAGCTGAAACCAAGGGTCTGGCACTTAACTGCCTGAGCCACCAGGCGCCCCAGCTCTTGTAACCTTGCTTCCACCCTCCCTTTCTGAAATTCCCACCTCCTTTCTAGCACATTCTACATCTACATCCTCCCTGCTCAATTGCTACCTCTTAATTATTGATCACATTGGCAATTCTGGGGACTCTTGACTCCCCAACCCCCCTTTCATAACATGTCATCTCTAAGACACCTTAGAGTTTTTTTTGCCCATTTCTATCATTATTGTATATTCTATGTTTAGCCATTTCTATCATTATTATATATTACACAATCATACTTTGAAGTAAAATCATTACATTTCAGATCATTATAAAGTTAGTTTATAAGATAACATTGATTTTGGTACCATCTTAATAAAAATTTATAGCTAAAAATAAATGTTAACTTTTACTCCTATCCTATAATAGGAGGGAAAATGCTATTGAACTTAAAGTAATTACAATAAATTACAGTACCTCTCCAATTTTTAGATGGCAACATAGCTCACACTCCTTGGGAACTAAATATTTGTTAGGTCTGAGAGAAAGTACCAACAGTAGGGGAAAAAAAAACAAACCCAACCCTGCTTTCCATGAACTGATGTTTAAATTATTTTATGTTGCTCTTAAAAAAAAAAAAAAAAGATCAGTGTATATTTAGTTTCTAAACAGTCATAGAGAGGGTTTTAGCATTGTTTGGACTGTATGCCTATGGCTAATAAACAGAGCTGAACTGAACTGTCCTTCTTAGGCTCTGCAACTTTGCATCTACACGGCTTTTCCGGTTACTTAACATCTCCGTGCCTCTCTCTCCCTGTGTGTCCCTTTAGACAACGGTCCTGGGGCAGACCAATTTGGGCCCAGAAGTGTACAGGAAGCACGGCAAAGGCCTGGAAAGACCAAGAATGCTCAAAGCAAGAAAATCAGGAGGGCTTGTGAGATCACAAAAATCGATGCCTTTGTTGTGAGATCACCAATTCCTTGAGTAGAGGTACTGTGCACAGGGCCCTCGAAGTCCCTGAGTGAATGAATGAATGAATGACAGATACTAAACATTTTTCATGTACTCACTTAGGAGTAAGTGCATATGATGTATATATATACTAAATAAAACAAATGGCATTTATTCATCTGTGAATATGTGCCTGATCTTGGCTATGTGTTAAATAGATACTATATTGCATTATACAATATGTATCTCTAGTATGTGTTAAATAGATGCTGTATTTGATTATAAATACGTATCTCTGGTATATGTTAAATAGCGTATTTGATTATAAAATGCATATTTCTGGTATGTGTTAAATAGATATTCTATTTGATTATAAATATATATCTAGTATATTTTAAATAGATGCTTATATTTGATTGTAAATATGTATCTCTGGTATGTGTTAAGTAGATACTGTATTGGATGATAAAATGTATTGCTCTGGTATGGGTTAAATAGATACTATATTTGATTACAAATACGTATCTCTGGTGTGTGCTAAGTAGATACTGTATTTGATTACAAAATGCATAACTCTGGTATGTGTGAAATAGATACTGTCTTTGATTTTAAAATGCCTATCTCTGGTATGTGCTAAGTAGATAATTTATTTGATAAAATGTGTAACTGTGGTATGTTTGAAATAGATACTGTCTTTGATTTTAAAACGCCTATCTCTGGTGTGTGCTAAGTAGTTAGTGTATTTGCTTATAAATACGGATCTCCGGCATGTGTTAGAGAGACAGTGTATCTGTTCTACAGGGTGCGCCTGTATGCAGGAGCCAGAGAGGGTAGGCAGGATAATGAACCTTTACTGCAGCGGCTGCAGAAGGCAGAGAGGAGCTGGCCCACAGCCCCGCCTGAGAGCAGATGGCAGGTATTAGCTCACCTTTCCCTCCCTCCCTTTCTCTCTCCCTCCCTCCTGCCTGGAGTG